AAATCAAGGAGGTATTCACATTTTAAAAGTGGATTTTTTGACAGGAATATTTTCTCTCAATTTCCAACGTCCCTAACCTGTTATTTGTATGAATAAAATAATAATGACAATAATAATTAGTTATTGAGTCGATATAACAATGGTATATGCTAATTGATATCATTGAATTATTTTCAATGACTAGCCCATTCCGATGGCGACGAAAAAAATCTGACACTATTTAAAAAACCGATATCAGAAATAACTCTACTAGTCATGGAAGGTAATTTGATAAGGAATTATCAATTTGCTTGTCCAATGGACTAATTATTAAATATTTTTTCATCTATTTATATTTGTTTAAATATTGAAAAGTGAGCATTATTTTATGAAACCTTTAAGGATTTCGTTGATGAAATAAATATAGAAATATAATTATAAAATGTTTTATTTCCCTAACTCGGTGAAAATACAGAAAATTTCTGATTCATACCTCTGTGAAGTGTGAATGGAATTCGGCAAATGCAATATTGATTAAATCAAGCCAGCAATACTAATTGATGAATAAAATGAATGACATGGGGTTTACATGGGTCTTCCAATGCCACGACCGACTGGCATTTGTGGAGCTCCACCAGCTCCACTTCGTGGGTTCTTGATTGTCTCATCAACGGAGAGAATCAGGCAGGCAGCTTCACCAGCAGCTGTTAATGCGTTGATTTTAATAATGGCTGGCTCCCAGACACAGGCGTCCATGTTATCAGCAATGTCCTCTGCATTGATGTCGACTCCATACCAGCATTTTCCCTGGTGATGTTTCTGTCTCAGTTTATTCAGGATGTTGGTAGCATCGAAGCCAGCGTTATCGCAAAGTTGTCTTGGAATAATCTCAAGAGCCCTCGCGATAGCTCCAATGATCAACTGCTCCTTTCCAGCAATTGTTCTAGAATGATCTCTGAGAGTTTTCGAGAGTTCCATTTCAATAGCTCCACCACCAGCAACAACCGCGTCATTTTTAATCATCCTTCTGACGATCATGATGGCGTCATGCAGAGACCTTTCAGTTTCCTCCAAAAATTGTTCAGCACCTCCACGAAGTACGAAAGTGCAGGTCTTGGCATTGGGACATCCAGCGAAGAAATTGAACCTTTCCCCTCCAATTTGTTTCTCCTCGAAGGACTCACACTTTCCCAAGACCGAGTCGGTGATGTCATTGACTGTAGTGATTACAGCTCCTCCACAAGCTTTCATGGTTCTCTTCAAATCTTCTTCAGGTACTCTACCAGCACAGAACATGTCTCTGTCAGCAAAGTACTGTGTTGCAACGTCTCCAATAGGCAGTTTTGATAGAACAACATTGGCTCCAATCTTGTGAATCTTCTCTAGCTTTTGATAGAGAATCTGCCACTCCGCATCCACGACCTTTTGGTACTCAGCAACATTATCAACTCTGACTTCTGCGTTATCTCGTTCGGCTTTCAGCTCCAATTCAATATTCAGCAGGGCAATTTTGCAGGGGGAGTACTTCTTCGGTTGCATCTCGAAGCCAGCGTATGAGAAGGTCTTCTTGAATGCAACACCAGCAACTAGAAGGGAGTCCTCAAGTGCTCCACCAGATACCTTTTTGATACCAATCATGTTCAAGGGGAGGAGCTCGTCCAGTTGAAGAACAGCGTCAACCACCATTTTGCCGAAGAAATCCTTCTGTTGGTGGATCAGTTTAGAGTTCATCGCTGTTGCTGCACACTTTTCCAGGAGACTTCGTTTCTCTTCTAATGTAGTGTCACCGATTTTTACGCTCAATTGCTGAATTTTTTCGTGAGCTATTTTCATTGCTTGACGGAAGGCTTTGATGATTATACGGGGGTGGACTCCTTCTGCTACGAATGGTTTCATTTGCTTCAGGAACTCCGTGGCGATGAGGACGACACTCGTTGTTCCATCACCGACCTTTCAATTTGAACGAATACAATTCGATAAAAAGTCTTTAAATAATTATTTGGATTTTAAAAAAAGGAATCGAGCACGTGAATTATTTCAGTTAAATGTACAGATGCTAATATTTTCAAGTAGTATTCAAACTTTTATACTGTTGAGAAAATTTGTGCGTATAATTAAATTGAACACTAAATTTAATTTTCTTGCAGTATTATCATTTAAATATTTTGGTAAGAAATTAAAAATACATTATAATCAATGACAATACCGTTGGGAGACATTTTGTGCGGAAAATTCTAGAGAAAGTACTGAAAAAATTGGTAATCCATTCGCTAAAAGAATTGAACAGCGGTTTTTGGTAAAATTTCCGGAGATTTCTGCGGAATTTTCATGAAAATACCGGAAATATTACTTTTTTTTCCAATAAAATTTTTGGTAATAACACTGGAATTTTCCGTCCATTTCTTCATGCCTCTGGCCCGCAGAATTGTATTTACAAATACGAAAAACGTCTTGAATATTAAGATTATCATAATATCTAAGTTGAAGAGATTGATTGTAAGATTTATAATTACTTATAATACGGCAATTGCTATGAATTCAATGGAGAGAAGTAGAATGATCGCTTATCAAAATCATGGTAAGAGTAAATTATGAATTTTTATAAACTCTAATTTTTACAATTATCAATTTTCCAAACTATTTTCAAAATCTCAAAAATGTGCATCATATTTTCTATTATTTCATTAATTGAGTTATCGAAGTCATAGATTTATAGGAATAACAAGAGAAATTATTTTCTATTGTTGAAACTGTGTGAACATTAATGAGACAATTTTGTAGCTGAATAAAATTGCCAGTCTATATATCTGTTCATTATTTATTCTTTTCCGATTAGAGAATGCTAATTGTTGCTTCACAATAACATTAGGATGTCCCGGAAAAATAATGAGACAAATTGTTAATGCAAAATGAACATCTGAATTTGAAAAATTAATTCCCCAGTGAATCATCATTTTTTAGTGACAAATACTTTTGTAATAATTATTTCTGAGTAAAAAAGACCCAAAACCTGTCAGTTTTTTTTTCTTTAATTGAGAATAAAAAAATTTTTCTCTTTACCTCTGCATCCTGAGACTTGGCGATGTCCACAAGAGTCTTGGCAGCTGGATGAATGATATCTAGGAGTTTGAGAATAGTTGCTCCATCGTTGGAAATCGTACTCTTCCCATTTTGATCGACAATTAGTTTATCCATACCACGAGGACCTAAAGTAGTCTTCACAGATTCACCCACCATTTGACAGGCCGTGATATTTGATATCAGCTGGGGCTTTCCCTGACTTGAGTCAGTCCCCTCTTTCAGCAAAATTATTTGTGGTTGCTGTAAAAAATTGATAAGAAATATTTCAATAGAAGGGATGAAGCATCAATTAACATTTTACACTTTGTTATAACTATTAAAGTTTCATTCATTTGCAGATGAAAAAGAATATTTCTCTTGCTACATTGAATAGGCTTTTTCGTTTATTAATGAATCCAAACTCATTAACATCTCATGATAAATTTTGTCTTGATTTTGGAGAGTGTGGGGTAATATGGAGATTTATTTATTTTAATTGATGCAGTAGGAATTGAGAAGTTATTGTCGATATCAATATATAAAATAGAATAATAATAATATAGGCTAAAATTATTATTTTATATTAATATATAAAATATATTGATATAACTTGATCAATGTAATTGATGATGTAAAAATATAACTTGTTTCGAATTTTTATTATTATTATATATATTATTATTCCTACGTTCTCAATAAACTTTTGTGTAAATTTCCAAAACTACTAAAAAATGAGAAAAATAGACGCACGTCATTAAATAATGATAAAACCCAAAAACGGGAAATTTTTTCACGTCAATCCGATCGGCGGCTTCCAAAAAATATACGAAAAAAAAACAAAAATGAGAAAATGTCGGTAATAACTTCTTAAAACTGAATATCTTTCTCGGATAACAGGATGACTATCTAAAATGATAATTCTTCCATTATTATACGATTCAAAATCAAATTGATGCTTTGGAACAACATCATCTTTTAATTGTTTAACTACTCACTAAATTTTGTATAAAAAACATGGTTAAAGTCCAATCAATTAGAATTTTAAGTCCACTCGATGTGGTACCTAATTATTATTAATTTTTGTTGCATTATTAATGTTTTTCTGGATTTTTCAAGAAGTCCACTTGACAGTCTATCAATCCACTAATTGCTAAAATACTTAATTTCAAAATATCCAAATTCGAAATGTCGTAATTCTGAATTAATTTCAATTAATCAATTCTAGATGTTCTTAATTTCTAAATCATCAATTTGTTTCTCTTCTAATTCAGTCCACCACTAGAAGTAAGACCTTATTAATTTTCCAATAAATTAGAACAAAATATTATCAGGAGGATCAACAGTGCAGAACTTAATTTGTTTACAGATGACAGATAGATTAATTTATCGGGATCATTTGGGAGAATAGATAGCATTGCGGTTCGATTGAGGTACGATAAGATGAATCTGTAGTTTTGGAGGAAATGTCGGTACAAATATTGCAATGCAATGTAAGATATTTCTATGATGGAGGAAACAAGGAGCATATTTCGTCTCCTTATAAGGTTATGCCTGAACAATCTCGAAGTTTCTTCCGAAACAGAATAATGACAGCCATAAATTACTCGGACACCATTCCGGAGTATCGAAAGTAGAATTAATGAGGTGTTGATTATTTATTAGACTAAATAATTATCCTTTGTGCAGGTCATCTTTTAATGGAAAAAGTCTAGTATCGGTCTGTCACTATTTGCTTTTCATTGAAGGTCTCTTCCACCCGGTTTTCGATCATACACATTGAACAATAATCATCGGATCTCAATCTTTCAGTAATGACCATCGTTAATCACAATCACTGGAGGATGCCGTAAAACTTTTTGGATTTTAAATGGCCTACCATTTTTTTAATTCAATATCAGAAACGAGACAAAACCGCAACTCCGGGTTGAATCACTCGGCCGTGCCCAAAGAGGATTGACTAAAGTAGAGGCTCCGTTCTGGGGGTTTGAGTGACCCCAGCGGCATCGTAGTAGCCGACCCCATAAGAGGGAGGGCGCCACACGTAACGCTGGAGTATCTGCTCGTTAGCCGACTCAGCGACTTTTCAGTAATATCCCTCCAGCTTCCCTTTTAATAACTCTGAGCTCTTCGATGCCTCAGATTCCACTGACTGGAATTTTTGACGAGCTGATTTCAAAGCCTCCGACTGCTGATTATTTGTGTTTCAACGAATTAACAGTTATTAA